ATAAACCGAAATTTTTAATTTGATTCACAGACAATTTGTTTTTTAGAAATCCCCCAATCATCAAAAGTATATTTCTGCCTGGTGAACAAAACATTTTATACTTGTTTATCCTGTTTAAAAACTACATAATATGACTGCGTGGGTTAGGGGACAACCTTTGATCCAGAATGGGGGAGGGTCAACTTTAAGGTTTATTTTCATGGACATTGGACACTAGGTAGCCCTCAAATAAAAGCTCGTAAATTTTTACATTGGTTAAAATTTTCGATGACATGCCAGATTTCCTTTGCAGAAAAGACTTCCTCAATCACATATCAGCGAAAGAAAATAAAAAAAAACATATTTCAACACATTCGATGTAATAGTACAGATTTTTTCACGTTTCAGGAACACTATATTTACCTCCTTTAAACGTTAATCAAAGAATGACCAATGATAAAAATGTGTGTTCCTTAACATACTGACAGCATATATTAAGAGTTGTTTTTAGTTGCCTGTCTTTAAGTGATGCAAAGTCACACAATTAACCAACAACAAGTGTACACCAAAAATTCAAAATCTATGAGTTTTCATCTCTTGATGCATCAATTGTGCAAGTTTGGTTTACATAAGCCTTATAATTTCATGGAAATAAACCCGTGGCCTGTTTTACAAAAGAAACTACGACTTAGATAAAACATTTTAGTTTATTGTACACTTCTATGAAATAGATGTTTCTGTTAGAAATTGCTAGCAAAAGAATTCTTTTCAAAAACATTAAGCAATTTTTAAATCAACGTAAAAGGGAAAGTTATCAGCAGAATAAACTTTTTGTCTTATTTGTACATGTGTAAGTTCTTTTATGAAATGAGCCGCTGGTCCATTACTTTTACGTGGTCCATTATCTGGAAAATATAAGTCAAATTCAACATCCGAAGCAAGTTCATTAGTGTGAATCCTAAGATGTTTAATTTATGCAAGTTTGATCATCATAGGGTTCATAGATTCTTGGAAATGAAACCAGCATAAAAAACAGTTTACTCATTCCGGAAATGTTAGTCGGATTCAGCATCCGAAGCAAGTCTGGTAGTATGAATCCTAAGATGTACCATCCATACAAGTTTGGCCATCATAGGACCCTTAGTATTTTGAAATGAAACCTGCACCCAGAAATTTTACCTGTTCACTAAACCAGTAAATGTAAGTCAGATTCAGCATCCGAAGCAATTCTGGTAGTTTCCATCCTAAGATGTTTCATCCATGCACTTATGGTCTTGACAGTGCTCATAGTTACTTGGACATGACACCTTCGCCACAAACTGCAGCAAAAATGTTGACCCTCTCCAAAATATTAACCTGGTCACCCCCTTGGTAAAATTGCAGCATCTGAAACTTTTACTGGTACAATGAAACACACTAGAAGTATATTCGATGCATGTCTAATCAATATAGAACATAGAAGTACTTAAAAAGAAAGCTGCTCCATAAAACTTAACCTTTGTCTGTGACGCCGACGCAGATGGTTTCACATAAACTCCCCAACTTCGTTGAGGTCAGCTAAAAATACTAATCAAGGCGTCCGTTTTTGTGTCAGTGCTCTCCTCTGCATAAGTTATGAGTTTGACTGAAAGAATTTTACACGGCTCAATCATATCCAGTTACATTACATACAATCCAAAGTTATCATAGATTTAAACATCACCTAATGGCATGTGGTATATTTGATACAGACGGTGTTTGTAAACGAATATTTCCTATTTTAGCTGACGCATATTGATAAGCGTAGGTAAAATACCTATATGGTTCGGGTTAGGCGTTTTGAAAGAATGACTCATAGGTTTAAATCTCAGGTAAATATAAATAAAGTACACCATTTAGAAATTATATATGAAAAGATCTATCTATATATAAACCTCTTTTAATATTTCATTATGTTAGCCTTTTAAACTATAGCTACTTAGAGTGTACATATTCCCATAATCTATCCCTTTATATCTGTAGTATAATTCCATACAAATAACACAGTATAACAAAAAAAAACACACACACTTAATCGGATTCATTTTCATCTTTGAGGAGTTCCCAATGTTTACTGACATATCTCATACGATTTCATACAAGCATGAACTAGGTAGCCCTCAAATAAAAGCTCGTAAAATTTTACATTGGTTATAATTTTCGGCGACCTCCAGATTTCCTTTGCAGATAAAAAAAATCAACAAATTCAAAGTAAAAGTAGGGATTTTTTCCGCGTTTCAGGAACACTGTATTCACTTCCTTAACACATAAATTAAAAACTACCGATAAATTTAGATGTGTATTCCTATAACATATAGATAGTCTATATTTAGAGTTGTTTTTAGTTACGAATATCGAAAAAGAAAGCGACGCATGACTATACTCAATTTGCAGTATTACTGGATGCGTAATACATATATTTGTAACGTTACATGTCTTTTTGACATGCGTAGGCTATCAATTGCGTAATCACTGAACATTTAAAAAGGCATGATTGGAAAATCATCCATTTAAAGTTTGTCAGCACCTAGTCTAATTAGGTATGAAATGTTCACCATTTATTTTTCTCCACATGTTTTATAATATTGAAAGTCTCATGTAGTAACATATTACAAAGTAATTCAAAGTAAGAAAAAAAGGAAATTTAAAGAAGAATTTGTTTTATTTCGTTATCAACTATGTTATTTGATCTATATTTGTGATTGAATTTTAGTTTTATTTTTTTAATCAAATTCGAATGAACTGGTTAAAATGTTTATATAAAAAGGGTGTGTATTTTAATTTCTACAAAGCAAGGTGTCCATCATAGTATGAAAAGAGGGTGTAACCATTACTCTGAATTTCTAACATGCACAATATGCTTTCTATTGATGACTGCCATTCTATGTGAAAGTCTTGTTAGAAATGAAGGGAAGGAAAGAAAAAGACGTGGACAACAGGTACAATTGATCAATATAGACAAACAGCAAACGATAATCAAAACAATTTCTTAATTACATGTAGAACACGTTATTTTTGTCATTATACCTCGAGAAAAAAGATTATGTTCTTCATGAAATACTATTGATGATAAATCTCATTTCTCTCTTCTAGCTTGAATATACAAATAAGGAATGTATTTATAAAAGCTATGTTAAACAATCGTTCCCAATTCTACCCCAAATCACCTACACAGAAACTTGAATATATACTAAAATCTGAAGTTATACCGGCTGTTTGCACTTTTATAAAACTAAATCATTAGAGTTGAGACATAGAAGGTCCACCCCGATGTAACATTTATGGGATTAATTTCTATATGAATATTGTAAATATAATTCATTGTTCTCATTCATTTTATTTTTTTTTATGTATTGCTTAACTCAAATGGGTGTAATATGCAATAAAAATTATTATTTTTTATATCCACAACTTTTCCACTAATAAAAGTAACTCTCACAATATGAAAAGCCTTTTCGTTGCTTGTTCTTGTTACTTGAAACACTAGTGAAGACACGAAAACTTAGTTGAGTGAAAATGTCATTTATTGACAAAAGTGAAAAAAAAACAGATAAATATACAATATTACATACAATCATGTAAATTATAGCTGGGATAATGCCTAATAATGATTAGTTTCAACCTAGATATGATATATTGCGACTTAGTGCTTATCCCCGCTAATGTTATATAATGATTACCAAGTTTGTGTAACAAGAAGGTGGCGTAAACAAAGAGGCCACAAAAAATTATTATTTTTTATTAATATAGTTTGTATTCAAGTGTTCATATGTATATTGGATTTTTTGTTCTTCCGTTTCAGAGGCTAGCATGTTCAGTGTCTTCCGACACAATAGTCCAGAGATTGTGTCCTAACGATACGGAAACCCGTAATACACGTGCAAAAGAACTTGGTTGTGAAAATATCACTAACCATTGTAAAGATTCTAAAGATTTTGTTTACCATTGTGTTTTGAATGAGTGGGGTAACGGCTCTTTAGAAATATGTACCGTCAACAAAAATTATAGGTTTGTATTCCGTTGATAATTTTAATCACAACAATTTAAAGAGAAATTAATCATTTACATGGAATTTAAATCATTTTTTAAACAAATATAGATAAGATTTACCATCTTATTAATAAAAGATACTATTCAAGGACATTGCTTTTTTGTCCCGTTTAATTATATATCATCATTAAAACAGTTAATCTTACAATAATTGGACTTTCTATAGATGTATATTTGGTTTTTGTTACAGGACAATTTTGTGCAGAATTTAATTTAGGCGGAGCTATAGTTCAGGAACACCACAAAACAAATAGAACCTGCACTTCTTGTCCTTTTGTTTATAACTCAACTGAGAGTTTTCGTTGTGAGTTTTTTTCACATTGTTTCTAGTTTTGTAGTTGAAACAGATTTGATTTGAAAATCTCTAGAACTTTTGAGCTTCTGATTGACAAAAGTTCAACAATAACAAATTTTGGGTTCAATTTTTCATTTTCGTTGAAGTTCCATTATGTATTTATTGCCTATACAATATATCAAATGTATGAGGACATTTCATTTCTTAAATTTTGGTTAAAAAAATATCTTTTAAAATCTCTCCCTCTTAAATTAATGGTTTATATTTAACAAAAGAAAAAGGTGTGACTGAACTGCTAAATTCTTATGTCTTTTTTTTTTATAGACAATGAATGCTTCAAAGGACTTCCATCAACACCTACAGGTTCCACAAAACAAAATAAGCTTCCTATGTCAATAGATCAATGGATCGGGTAAGGGTACTTTAGTTTTATAATAAATGCTTTAAATTTTTGAAAAGATGTATGCCTAAGATAAAAATTTATCTTCAAAGACCCATCGTTTTACTTGGTCTTATTTCCCATCATCGCTACAACAATCTTTTGTGTGGTGAGGAAAAGAATTACATCACAGAAACAACACATTCCATTGTCAGGCATGAAAGACAACCAGGATGAGTTTGATATGGGAGACGAATAAAAAAGTTTAGAATGTGAAAACGAAGTTTTTAAAATGAAACGAACATTCGTTTTAAAAAAAGTTGAATATTAATCAGCGATTTATGAAGAGATACTGCATCCTTTACATAAAATGAATAATTAATGCATACGCCAACATAGGACAGAAGTGAATCACAAGATCCGTTCCTTCGGTCTCTTGGCACACAGAAATGTCTACCCCGATATGTATACATGTACATCATACTGTTAATGATATATTATTCTCCGTATATTGGATGGATAAAAACCCACAAAGGCCAGATTTTATCACTTGTTGAAAAGCAGATGTTTCGTACCTCTTACCTCTTCCAAGCGGACTATGACATAGTTCTGTAAGCTTTGTATTTAAATTTCGAGGTATTTGTAGAGACGTGTATCTGAATCGAAATACCTTAATTGATAGAAATGTGCAATATTGTTGAGTGCCAATAGTTACTTTTGTTTAATTCAAGATCGATATGTTATATTGTGATACTTTTTCGGAATTTCTTCCTACATATGTTGGTATATACCTGTACAGATTGTTTTTCTGTATTTTGCACATATTTGTATTGAGTCTACAGTTACTTTTTTCCTGACGTCTCGAAATGTCTACAAAGGACGTTTATTAATGTTCCGTATGTCAATTAAATTATGCAGATCGAAATCTCACAGATATATTTTTTTTGTTATCAATGATATTATGACATATTTGACATTACAAATCTAAATTATTTATAGTTTTTCTTTTACAAATATTAAAGTTATTACAAAATCATGATCTTGTATATACATTGTAACTAACTCTCACTCCCACACAGGCAACATTTATTCTCATAAAATTCACATAATTTTCATGTGAAACTTTTCGTTGGGAAAAGACGGGAAGGAAAAATTCATGGGATTATGAAATTATTTGAAATGATTTTCGCTTTAAAATATCACGCAATTACAGAAAAATTCACATGAAAGTTTAAGAAAAATCACGTGATCATATATAACAATGTTTACATGATACTTGCATAAAAAAATACAATTTTCTACAGTTAATTTTCAACTATAAAAGAAAGTAATTTGACTATCATGAAAACCGAATTTTCCTGATAAAACAAATGGAATCTAAGAAACATAAATCCTGAAGTGAAAAAATAATACAGTATGCATTACATTTATAATGAGTGAAGAAAATTTTATTCACAATCAATAAAGCCTCATTCCTATATTATTGACTTTTATAGGTCATAGTTATAAATCGGCAACAAATGATTATATAGAGCATATCGAAGTTGGCACATGGATTTGTTTAGTAATGTAAAAAATATAAATGAAAACGTTTTACCACCTTCTCATCGCTTAAGTAAATGGTTTTAGATGTATAAAATAACTTCAAATTTCAGAACAGTTTTTTAAGTAAATTTTAGAACCTGAGTCTTCTACCAAAATTTAGACTTTTTCATTTCAAATTCAATATATTGTCCTGAACAAATGTGAAGTGAAAAATTATATTTATTTTTTTAACATTTTATTATTCAACCTTTTCACTATTTCTATAATACATGTATGATTATAAATGATTAATTATCTTTTTACACGTACGAGTACATTACATTTTCTATATAATATCATTATACTATGACATTTTAACATTTGATTATTTAACCTTTTCTCTATTTCTATATGATTATACATATATTAATTAACTAATTGCTGATATGTCCAGACAGCTGCAAATGCATACACGTGTACTGGAGAACTGTTCCTTGTATTTACTGGTGATAATGTAATATATTACTGATGTAAGGTAGATAATTCAGATAATCATCACCATTGTCTAAATAGGCTACATTGCTAGTATTAATATCATATATATCTATATGTGTTTCATATTGTCGTACATATATATTGTTGCGACATGTCTAGTCCTCGTGTTTGCTAACAAATCATGCTCATAGCATTTATATTATTTTTATGTCCCCAGTTGTAACCATTGGCATCAGGAACAAATTGAAAGTGTGGGGGGGGTAAGTATAAATGAAAATTTTGTACCTTCAAAAAAACCTGACAAGCAAATAAAAAAAGGGAAATGTCCATTCCCCAAACACAGAATCCTATTTCGTGGTGGGGGGTGGGGGGGGGGTTGGATTGATCTTCAATACCAAAAAATTTCCAAACACCACTACTTTCCCTGTTCCTTTAACCTATACTAAGACGTACCTGTGGAAAGGGGGAGACTAACATACGAGGATATGTTCAATGTATATACTATATATGTCTATACTATATGTCTATACTATATGTCTATATATATATATATATATATATATATATATATATATATATATATATATATATATATACATTACCTAACGGGGGCTTTAAAACTTGCTCTGACAGAAGATGTCTTCTTTGTAAGCACAGCACTGACATGGACAGTTTTAACAGCCCTGTTACAGGCCGCAGCTACAAAATACTAGGGAATTTGTCCTGTCATACTGACAACTGCATTTATCTCATCAGTTGCAAAGTTTGCTCCAAACAGTATATTGGTGAAACAGGAGATCTCCGCAGGAGAGTCAATAACCACCGTTCGACCATCAGGACCAAAAAACTTAATGAACCTGTTGGGGAACATTTCAACCTTGAGGGTCACAAATGGGAAGACATGACAGTTGTGGTGATTGACCATAACCCAAGATGGAAAGATGCTCAGAGAAAAAGCAAGGAAAAGTTCTGGATGCACAGACTGAAGTCATTCCGCCCTAATGGCATTAACAAACTGAATGACTTCACCAGAATGAACATATAAACTAGACCCAATTCCTGATGATACTAAACAAGATTATTCTCTCAATTTAAAGTAAACTCTACAGTTAATTTGCGTCACCATCTCTCAAACAACCCACATAACTATGTAATGCTTCCGCCTTTGTTAATTATTTTTTCCCGATAATAAGTCCTAAAATATTTCAAAATTTATAATAGATCATAATTCATATGTTTAAAATATCCCTGCTTTTTTTTTTTTTTTTTGATTATTCTTTATCATGTATAGTTACACCATATTGAGAGAATGAAACAATGTACGATTTACTGATTGTCGTAATTAATTAGCATAATTAATTCGTTCAATTATGTAAATCGCACTTACCCGAGTATACCCGATAGACCGGACGTTTTTCATAGCGGTCTGGATTTATTTCTTAAATTTCTTTAAAGTCCTATAATATTTCAAAATTTATAATAGATCATAATTCATATTTTAAAATATCCCTGCTGTATTATTTTTCTTTGATTATTCTTTATCAAGTATAGTTACGCCATATTGAGAGAACGAAACAATGTACGATTTACTGATTGTCGTAATTAATTAGCATAATTAATTCGTTCAATTATGTAAATCGCACTTCACCCGAGCATACCCGGACGTATTTCTTAGCGGTCCGGATTTCTTTCTTGAATTATAGTGTTTTTAAAAAAATTTCCAATTCAACTTGCAACTAAGTTTGTAAATATATAGTGTTTAGTAGTTTAGTAGTAGTGCTAGCTGCTTTTGTTTTTCTTTTTCCTTTGTTTTTATGACCTTTTAACTTTTTTCTTTGTCCTGAGGAAGGGACAGGGCGTCCCGAAAATTTGACAATTTTTATTGTTCGTGTCGTTGGTCATTTTAGTGCTTTTAATTTCCATCCGTGACCTTGTATCTACTTGGTGGATCCGACATTTAGGATATACAGTGTTGTTGGTTTTTTAGTGCTTTATATATCCTTTTTCGCCAACTGTATCTTCACAGATCCACCCGTATATCCATCATTTCTTTAGCTATATTTTCTGTTCTTTTCATTTATTATTTGTTATATCTTTCGTCATTTTACGTTTTTCAATTTAGTTTTTTGCAACCTTTGCAAATTAGTTCTTACCACTTTTCCATTTCGAGGTTTTCTCCTGTACCATTTGATTTTTTAAATTTTTGAATTCTTGCACGAGTTATCTACGAAATACGTTATAGTACAGAACAATCGTTCGTTGAATCTTCCGACTTCATACGACAAAAAACTTAAAAGTATTGTTATCATTTTGGCCATTATATTTTCCTTCAAATATGTCTTTTAAAGATAATTCAACATTCAAACTTCTAAAGATAGAACACCAAAAATCTATAAAAACTGAACACCGTGTCTCCAATTTACAGACGTACTTAGAGTGTGACACTATACCGAAAGGCTTTCAGATAAATGTTACACCTAACATAGGGCCAATCTCCAAACGTTTCCAGGAACGCTGGGACGTTATTACAAGGAGATGTTCTAAACAATTGATGTCACTTTGTCTTTCTTGGGATATCCACAAGTTAGGACAATTGAAGAGTGAGATCAAGTCTTTAGAATCATCCCTCAACGATATCATGTCCCACGCCGATCTTGACGAAGCCAATAATATTATAGACACCTATAATATGGCCCTAACCAACAAAGTCAACAAAACTGAAAAAAAGAAATTTCTCCGCGACAGTGTTCCACAGTCTAGGACCAACTGGACAGAGGTCAGAGTTAACAAAACACGTAAACCCCGCTCGAGACGCTTCAAGCGCATTAAGACAATCGCGAGGGACGAGACCCGTACAAACTCCTGACGTCTGCCCAGTGCTCAATACATCTAGTGTTCCTCTCTCCGAATCGGAGACCTCACTTCTCTCAATGGGGCTTAATTTCTGCCCCACGCCACATAGGTCGACGAAAAACAAGTCAGGAGAGAACCCAAGTAAGTCTCCGGAGACTTCGTTTGAAGGAGCACTTCTCTAGAAAAGACTCCGAAGCAAATTCATACGACTCTTCCAAGCCAGATTTACACGACCTAGAGGAACACAAACTCTATAAGCCCAAGAGTGCCTGGGAACCTACACCGGGCAAGTGCGGCGCGCTTGAGTCGTATATTGACGCCGTTGAGTTAGACATAGAGAAGCTCCTTTCAATACCAGACAAAACTCCCGACAATTTGAGTAAGGAGGAGAGATCTGCCTTACAATCATTAAAAAATTGGGATGACATTGTAATTAAGAAAGCAGACAAAGGCTCTACAGTTGTAGTAATGGATAAAGAGACTTACTGGCGGAGGCCCAAAGACAACTCTCAGACGAACGTTTCTATAAGAAACTGGACTCTCTGACCCTACTAAAGAATTCTCCACGCCATTACCAAAACTCTTGACGATATGTTTGAGAAAAATGAGATTGGTATCCACGTCTTTGAGACCTTAAATCCTATTGACTGTAGACCAGGACAATTCTATCTGCTTCCTAAAATACACAAAGCAGGCATGCCAGGTCGCCCCATAGTCAGCGCAATTGGACACCCCACGGAGAAAATTTCTGAATTCATTGATTTACATCTCCGTCCACACATAGAAAGTTTGCCATCCTATCTTAAGGACACCACGGACTACATTAACAAGACGCCCTCTACTGGCCTCCCAGATCATACCCTCCTCGTGACTATGGACGTCACATCTT